ATCAAATGCAAGATGGGCCCTGCCCATCTTTTGAAGGAGAGCTTGGATTCATAAAACACATGTTTTTTCAGGTTTCCCAACCTGTGGGGAACTTAGATATATGAATACTTTTCGAATTTGAGGTCAGTTTCAAATTTTGACTTTTCATGCTTAATTGGCTATTTGCCAAAAAATGCAAGATGGGACCTGGCCTAACTTTTGTAGGAGAGTTTGGATCCGGAAAACACATGTTTTTTCGGGTTCCCCAACCTGTGGGGAACCTGAATATATGCATACTTTTCGAATTTGAGGTCAGTTTGAAAATCTGTTTTTCATGTTTAATTGACTATTTGCTAACAAATGCGATATAGGCCCAGGCCTAATTTTTGAAGGTAAGGTTGGATCCAGAAAAGGTATGTTTTTTTGGGTTCCCCAACCTTTACCGAATCTTAATATATGCAAACTTTTTGAATTTGAGGTCAGTTTCAAGTTTGGACTTTTCATGCTTAATTGGCTATTTGCCAACAAAAGCAATATGTATTAAAAGATGTATTAAAAACAAAACAGTGATTCCTGGGTAGACTCATGTTAAACAATAAAATATACGAACACCAGGAAGTTATAAAACTATAAAAAGTTTTAATAAAACCAGAATAAAACCAAGCCTTCGCTGGCATCTGCCAGCATCATCAGGGTAGTCTCCAGTCGATGGGAGAAGCTATTTATAGATGTGGCGTTCTTTGCGCCCGGCTTCTTGACCTCGTCATGGGTCCCAGCCAATCCACCTGCGTTTTGATCGTAGTTTCTGTGTTGCAAGCTGTAATTTCCTCACTTTCCTTACTTGTGCTGGTACCGCAGCTCTTCCTCCCTTCTTTGCATAACTGTAAGTCGGGGGGACTCCTTAATTCCACGTAATTAGATTTGCACTTTCTGTGTTTATGTTGTTTATTCTCCTTATCCTCCTTCTTGGTACTCCCTATTTCTGTTCTCCCCCTATTTCTTTGTTTACAATCCTCTTTCAAAACTATATCCTCATTGTTTGTCTCTGTAGCCCAATATTCCATTGTGTTTACATCATCCTGTTTCCCGATCCTTCGTATCACTTTATTAACTCCCCTTTCTATTTTCTCTTCAATGGGGGTGATTTTAACACCCTCTCCAGAATTCATGGCGCCCACAAATTGATTGCTGACCCCTTTTTCCGAGGGGGCTGTCCCTTCACTGTTGTTTGTGTATTCGCTCATTACTCGGGGGTATGCAATCTTCCTTAAAAGGAGAGTGGCAGAATCCTTACGGTCGTGACTTGTATCTCCTTGTGCATTCCTACGGGGAGTCGTTCCTCTCAAATGTCTGTAGGAGCATGTGGAAGTTCTAAGATTATAGCGAACAGGCTTCTCATCTCCCCGTTGTTCTCCTGCGTTCCCAAGGCAATAACAGCTCAAACGGGAAATGTGAAGTTAGTTGCAGGATCGCCGGTGGAATTACACATGGCATTCCAATAGTTCGAATCATGATTGTTTAATAACCCGAAGTCTATACCAGATCGCTTTTTTGTCAAACTCCTCGCTGTTCCTGGGGAGACCCTCAATTCATCAGCACTTGGCTTTTGGTTGTCAATCCATTCCTGTGTCCATGGGGGAGGGGCATATGTTTCAGCAGGTGGGGAGTTACTCTGCTGCTGATTATTCCCTGTCTGGGTATTTCCAAGGCTCGTCTCCTCCGTCAACCCTCTTTGCCGAAGGCACGTAATGTTACATTGTTTTTCTCCGGAGGGACGGTCGTGCATTGCCCACGCTCTTAATGTTACATGCGCTGGGCATAGGTCCACATGTCTGTTGATGGATTCTTCATTGGAGAGCCACGCCTCTTTAAGGAGCCGGCCCCCCTTCGTGCTGTCACTGGCCATCACCTGCACGTTGCTAAAATCAAACCTATGCCCAGATGCGCCCCGATTTGGGAATGCTGGTCGCCTCTCCTTACCGCCAACTTATGCTTTTAATAAAACTTCTGGTTTTATTAAAACTTTTTATAGTTTTATAACTTCTTGGTGTTTGTATATTTTATTGTTTAATATATATATATATATATATATATATATATATATATATATATATATATATATATATATGTAGGTCTTTGGTTGTTCGGGTTTTCTCCCGCGTAAAATTGGAAGTGTCTTGGCGACGTTTCGACGAAGTCCCATTCGTCATCTTCAGGCTGGTGTTTTCAGCTTCGTGCTTTGAGCAGCTCGAAGCTGAAAACACCAGCCTGAAGATGACGAATGGGACTTCGTCGAAACGTCGCCAAGACACTTCCAATTTTACGCGGGAGAAAACCCGAACAACCAAAGACCTACATACAAAGCGAAAACCTCAGAAAACAAATATATATATATATATATATATATATATATATATATATATATATATATATATATATATATATATATATATATATATATACATACATACATACATACACACACACACATTAAAAATAAAAGTAAAAATATGACTCTTGGGAATATCCATACTATTAAAACAATGATCACCAAGAGAATGCTTTAAGAGAATAAAATTGGCATAGGGCCAGGTTACTTACAGGACCGCATTCTGCCGCACAGCTCCCAGAGACCGGTGAGGTCCCATAGATTGGGCCTCCTTCAGGTCCCGTCGGCCAGACAATGTCGGCTGGCGGGCCCTCGGGGAAAGGCCTTTTCTGTGGTGGCTCCAACCTGGTGGAATCAGCTTCCCCCCGAGGTTCGAACTACTCCCACACTGCCGGCCTTTAAGAAGGCCGTTAAAACCCTCCTGTTCCGGCAGGCCTGGGGCTGATGTCCCCGGGGGGCCGGGATATGATCGGACTCACGGTATGACTGCTTTATTTTATTGTTTTATCATTGTTTTAACTTTGTACGCTGCCCTGAGTCCTTTGGGATTGGGCGGCATATAAATACTGAAAATAAATAAATAAATAAATAAATAAATAAAATTACATACACACACAGGTAAAAAAAGGATATATGCAGTGTTATCTTCATTTTAGATGTCAAAAGGGTCTCTCTTTCTCTGTGTGTCTCTTTCTCCCTCCCTCTCTATCTGCCCTTGGTCTGCCACTCCTCTTCCCCCACTCTCTTTCTTTCTCTCTCTCTTTCCTCTCTCTCTCTCCCTCCCTCTCTCTTTCTCTCTCTCTCCCCCCCTCCTATCTGCTGCTCACCTGGCAAGCTTCAAGCTGTTGTCCAACAAGCTCAGGGGTAAGCAATCTCATCTCTTTTATGACTCATGGACTTCAACTCCCAGAATTCCTGAGTCAGCCTAGCTGGGCTAGCTAGCTCTCTCCTGCCCTTCCTGCTTCCTGCAGAGACGCAGCAAAGGGAGGAGCTCCGCCCAGTAAGCTTTTCAGCTCCTCAGAGAACACTGTGAGTGCACTCTCTTTTACACATACATACATACACACACACACACACACACACACAAAAACACAAAGAGATAAAGAGAGAGAGAGAGAGAGAGAGAGAGAGAGAGAGAGAGAGAGAGAGAGAGAGAGAAAAGCAGGGAAGCGCAATTGCCTCTCTCTGTCTCTGTCTGCAAAGGCAGAGGAGGCTGGGAGCCACAGGGGAAGGCTCAAAGAGCTGCATGCGGCTCCGGAGCCACAGGTTGCCGACCTGTGCCCCAACCTGTGGGGAACCTGGATATATGAATATTTTCTTATGTGAGGTCAGTTTCAAATTTTGACTTTTCATGCTTAATTGGCTATTTGCCAACAAATACAAGATGGGCCCTGGCCTCACTTTTGAAGGAGAGGTTGGATCTGGAAAACCCATGTTTTTTCAGATTCCCCAGCCTCTGGGGAGCCTGAGTATATGCATACTTTTCAAATTTGAGGTCAGTTTCACATTTTGAGTTTTCATGCTTAATGGGCTATTTGCCAAGAAATGCAAGATGGGCTTTTCCTAACTTTTGAAGGTCAGATCCGGAAAACACGTTCTTACGGATTCCCCTAGCAATGGGGAACCTGAATATATGCATAGTTTTCGAATCTGAGGTCAGTTTGAAATTCTGATTTTCATGGTTAATTGACTATTTGACAACAAATGCGATATAGGCCCAGGCCTAACTTTTGAAGGAAATGTCGGATATGGAAAAGACATGTTTTTTTGGGTTCCCCAATCTGTAGGGAACCGGAATATATGTAAAGTTTTGGAATTTAGGTTAGTTTCAAATTTTGACTTTTTATGCTTAATTGGCTATTTGCCTACAAATGCAAGATGGGCCCTGGCCTAACTTTTGAAGGAGAGCTCAGATCCGGAAAACAGATGTTTTTTTGGATTCCCCAAGCAATGGGGAACCTGGATACTTTTTGAATTTGACCTCAGTTTCAAATTTTGTCTTTTCATGTTTAATGGGCTATTTGCCAAGAAATGCAAGATGTTAACAAGTGCGAGATACGCTCTGGCCTAACTCCTGAGGGAGAGGTTGGATCTGGAAAAGAAATGGTTTTTCAGGTTCTCCAGCCAGTGGGGAACCTGTATATATTTATACTTTTCGAATTTGATGTCAATTTCAAATTTTGACTTTTCATGCTGAATTGGATATTTGCCAACAAGTGCGAGATACGCTCTGGCCTAACTCCTGAGGGAGAGGTCGTATCCGCAAAACACATGGTTTTTCGGGTTCCCCAACCTGTGGGGAATGTTAATATATGTATAGATTTCGAATTTGAGGTCAGTTCAAAATTTTGACTTTTCATGCTTAATTGGCTATTTGCCAAGAAATGCGATATAGGCTCAGGCCCAATTTTTGAAGAAAGGTCGGATCCAGAAAATACATGTTTTTTCGGGTTCCCCAACCGGTGGGGAAAAGTATATGCATACTTTTCTTATGTGAGGTCAGTTTCAAATTTTGACTTTTCATGCTTAATTGGCCCTTTGCCAACAAATGCGAGATGGGCCCTGGCCTAACTGTATCCGATACACTAAGCTGCCAGGTTTTCAAATAATTAAGTTAAATATATTCTCTGGATACCGTGAAAAAGTTTTATTTATTTGATTTGCATTTGGATAAAAAACTATAATGAAACCATGAAAAAAATCCTAGTGAAAACACAGTAGAATGACATAAGGACAGATTTATTTGCCCAGCTGTTGCCTCTGTCAGGAACAGAAGTAAGATTATATGTCATAGCATTAATAAAGATGTTAGTTGTCACATCTCTAGAACTATCATGGTTTGGGCCTCCAGGAACATCATCTTCATTGCCCTTTCCTGGGAGATGAGTTGAAATAGTACTTTTGCTACTTCCAGAAGTTGGTGGTGTAATCTTCTGAAAAATATTTTCAGTGGCATCATCATGGCTGTTGCCTAGAGAACCATCGTGAACATGTGTTGCTTTGTCTTCAAAGTTATGTTTGGTGCTACCCACGGGAATAGAAACTGTAGCATCCTTAAAGAAGTTTATTGTATCATTAATAGGAATATTGCTAATTATATCTCCAGCACTGTTACCTGTAAAATCACTCAGAATTTTTACGGAAGCACCTCCATGAATGGGAGTTATAACTTCTGTTGAAGGTGTGGCATCTTTGAATATATCATTATCAGAAGCAATGCTAGAGATGGTAGTTTGAGAAGTGTTGCCCATGATATCTCCAGGGATGGTAATTAAAGTGTCTATGTAGTCATTACCCCTAATATGATCAGGAATGCCTATAGTAATATTGCTTGAGAAACCATCCAGGAAGAGAGTAGTTTTATTTTCAGTATTATTGATATCACTGCTAAGAATGTGAACTGTGGAATGTTCAGGAATGGTGCCTTTAGATATATTAAGTGTGAGATCACTAGAAATATTACTGCTACCACTACCAACACTAATTGTGGCACCCCTATGTGTATAAATAACAGAAGCTCCACTGTTGCTAATGACACTTCCCAGATTTTTGTCTGTACTAGTACCTCCAGGAATGTAAATAATTGCACCTCCAGAAATGTTGCTCATTGTGCCTTCATGGATGTTGACCGCTTTATGATCATATCCCATTGCAACTTCTTTGGCATTAGATGTGGTGCTTTGAAATATATTTCCAGTGGTACTTTTGGAGATAGGGGTTGTGGCTCCTCCAGAGATGTAATTCATAGTCCCATTTCCAGGGCTGTGAGTGATGGAGATTTGGGGTGTGTTTCCTGTTGCATCATAAGTTTCAGGGACTTGAATTGTATCACCTCCATTAACATTACTTATGATCTCATCAGATAGGTTGCCAGTAGCCCCATGAAGTATATTATGTGTGAAACTCTTCAGGCTGGGAATATATTCACCTTCTGTTGTACTTCTAAGTACTGAAGCTGTAACACTTTTAAGAATGTTGATTGTGGCATTTCTTACTATCTGAAATGTGATACTACTGGGAAATTTACTAGTAATTCCATTAAGGCTGTGAACTGATGTACTGGTATCTTCAGGGACATTGTTTATGATACTACCAAGCATATTTGTAGTAATGCTTTCAGGAATGCTATCTGCTACATCTCTGGGACTGTTGCCCATTGTATCAATATTGCCCTGTGTGTGAATAATGTTTTTAGGCATATTGTCTGTGGCATCTCTAGTGATATGAGTTAGGTCATCACTAGGAATGTTGCCCAAAGCATTGTTTTGAGAAATGTTACTAAATACTTTAGAGATATAGTTGGTTATAACATCAGGCCAGTTACTATCAGTTCCAAGAACATATGTTACATCTCTAGGAAGATTGCTGGTGGCAGCTCCATCTATGTTGCCTGTAACCACACTAGACATTTTGATTGTGGCATCTTCTGGGATGTTAGTTACAATACCTTTCAGAAATTTGCTATTGACATCTTCAAGTTGGTGAACTGTGAGTCTTCCAGGCTTATTTCTTGGAGTATTTGCAGATGTATTGCGTGTGCTTCCTAAGGCATTTCCAGGGATATGACTTCTTATGCCTGTAGGAAGATTGCCAGTGACACTAGCTGTGGTGCCTTCATTTTCATTGCCTGCTGTACCTCTAAGATTGTGAGTTATGTTGTTTGTAGGGAAGTTAGTTACAGCATCTCCAGGTATGTGAATTGTGGTACTTTCAAAGGTCATGGCATCTCCAGGGATGTTGCTAGAACTCACACTAAGAAAATGAGCTGTGATGCTTTCTAAGATTTTACCAGCTGTGCTTCCAAGTATGTTTCCTGTAAAAGTCCTGGGAATGTTGTCAGCAGCACCTCCAGCTGGGCTGCTCCTGGAGGTGTGACTTGAGATAACTCCAGGCATGCCCATGGCACCACTAATTCTAGGAGGTGTAGAGTTTTTAAGGATATATTTCATCACACTATGAGATACTTTTTCATTCTTGCTGTCAAGAAAGTGAACCACATGTTGATTGACAGTAACACCTGCAGGGATATGAGTTTTGGCAACTTCGCGGATATTGCTCTTAGCATACCTAGAATTGTTTTCAGCAGTAATTCCTAGAGAGTATGTTCCACTGTCCATTAGGACATTTTCAGTGGTATATCCAGGAATATGAGTCCTATCAATCCCATTGAAGTTAGCTGAGATACTTTCCTGGACACGATAAGTAGAACCTCCATAGTTATGTGGTGTGGTGCAAGTTGAGGAATTGCCATAATTGTTATCTGTGCCACTAACAAGAATGTTGCTGTTGTCATTTGCAGGGATATGTGTGATAGTATTTTCAAGTTTGGTAATATCATCTGGGATTTCACTAGCAAAACTTTTAGGATAATGTTGAAATCCACTTGTGATCTTTTCAAACATTTGAACAGTGGACCATCTAGGGTTATGACTGGCAGAGATGTGATGCATAGCACTTTCCAGAAGATTTCCTCTTCCAAGGATATCACTTGAATCACTCCTGGATATTTGAGTAACCCTTTTAGGGATCCATCTGCTAGCCCTTTTATGTATACCAGCTATAGTAGTTCTAGAAATGTCAGTTCTGGAACTTCCAGAAATGTGCCTGCTGGTCCTTCCAAGGCCACGAGCTGTGATATTTCCAGTGAAGTCACCTGTGGTGTTTCTAGTAACATCATTTGTGGCATCTCTAAGGGCATTAGTTCTGGCACTTAGGGGGCTGCTAAACCTGGGAATTCCAGAGATATGAGTTGTGATACCTTGCAAAATACTCTTTGTGGCACCTCCAGGGATAGGAATTGGTTTATTTGTCACATTTTCAAAGAAACCACTGGTGTTTCTAAGATTATGAATTGTGGCATGACCTGTAGTGTCCATTTCCCTGTTTCTGAGCGTATTACCTGGAGAACCTTCTAGGTTTTGTTTAGTAGTAGTAGTACTACTACTAAACATAGTAGTATGTGATTTGCTAGTCGGATGGGGAAATGTCCCAATTCTGTGCTTGCTGTGTGTTTCATCTTGATAGCTGTACTTTGTCATCTTTGCAAGGATATGAGTTGTTGCTAAAATCAAATTGAAATAATATTAAAAAACACTGTTTCAGTTATCAATATCTAGAACAAATCATGCCTCTCCTGTGTTGCTTAGAAGCTGGGCTTCTTTTCTCATAGAACACCCAGAACGGTGTTCCGGCACCTTTTTCGGATGGAACCTTGTAGGGTAGGCAAGGCGGGTTGTATGACGTGTGTGAGTTCCGGCACCTTTTTTTTTTTTAAAGAAAAAAAAGCACTGCTTAGAAGTATTAATAATGGGAGACCGTTTGGTATAGTGGTGAAGGTGCTGACATAGAAACAAGAGACTGTGAGCTAGTGCTGTCAGAAGAGTTTCCATGGAGCACTGCTACCTCCTCACAAGAAGTGGCACCTATTTATCTACTTGTATTTGCATGCTTTTGAACTGCTAGGTGGGCTGGAGCTGGGGTAAGGATGTTGTTCTTGGGTCTCAAACCTGGGCTGCTGGCTTTCCAGTCAAGAAGCCCAGTATCTTAATTGCTGAGCCATAGCACCATCCCTCTTAATAGAAAACAATACACAAAACCCTGGAAAACCTGCTGCACTTTTGCATTTCACAAAATAAGAGTACATCACAAAACTCCAAGAGAAAAATAATTACAGAAATCATCTAGCATTCACAAAGCTGTTCCAAATGTGGAATTACCCTCTGGATAATATGTAAAAACTACAAATCATGTTTCTTTCACTATTTTACCTCATTATTTCATTTGGCCAAATATTGTGATTGGTGATTTTTTCCAAGCAAGTCAGAAAATGGCACATTGAGCACATTATTATGAAAGTGTGATAACCCTCCACAGTTCATTAAATGCATACTGCAGAACCTCAAATTTGTGTTATATCCAAATTAAATTATAATATACAAGTAGATTATAATTATAATATACAAGCAGAAAAATCTACCTTTAATATTAGGATGTTGTCTTCCAGGAAAGCATAGAGGTTTGACCTTGTCAAGTTCTTCCTGTTGTTTGATAAGACTAGGATGAAGAGCAGTGATAGCCTTCAAGCTGATACAAACATAGAGCAGAATTTTAATATCAGTTCTTTCAAGGAAGTTGATCATAGGAAATCTATATTAAATTATGCCTTAGAAAAAGACATCAGCATTTTGGTGATTCATGACTCAGCTAACACATCCTTAGTCCTCATTTATTTCATGCATGTAAAAGTATAGAATAAGTACTGATTCCTGACCCAACAAAAGCTTTTAATCTACCCACCTTTAGGCTGCTGTCTTTCACAGGACTTCACTATGTACTTTTAGAATAATTACCCTGAATTCTTCTAGGGCCCAGAATTTGTGAATTCCTTACCAACAAATTTATTGGCCTTATTCCTATAAACTCCTATGTCACATAGTAAAGTTATTCTACATTGTTCATATTATAAATTGATCTAATTAGCTATTAACCAATTGTATATCCCGCTCAGCCCTGGTCCAGAAACACTTCATTGTTGACTCACATAGTGTAGAGATGACATGGCAATTTGGGAGCCATTTGGGAAAGGTGGACTGTCCTGGGCAGGATGTTGGAAAACAAAAGGAAGTAGGCTTCTCTCCACTGGGAAGAGTTCATTGAGCTACCTTCTTTTTTGAGGAAAAATAGTGCATTTTCCAAGATTTCTTGCTGGATTTCAACAGTGAAGGCAGGAGAAGATTGCCTACATGTTGATGGACCGGCTGTGACTATGGTGTCCTGAACAAGAAACATAACTCAGTTTGCAACATCAAAAGGAAACACTCTAGTTGCATTCCCAAATGACATGTAAAATTAGTTATATAGTCAGCATTATCTATTAAATTGCAATACGCTTTTAATGGGTTTCTCTGAGATTCTAGGTAGGAATACAGAGAGGAAAAAAACTTCTGCATGGTCACATTTTGGTTCTGCATGGTCACATTTTGGACCAACTCTGAGACTCTGGATGAGAAACTGTAAAAAGAACAATGGGAAATTTTGGTTCTAAAAGTTACATAACTTAAAGTTACATTTTAAATAAAATAAAGTGAGTATAAGGGTCTCAGGTTTCATCCATTAATATGTAAATGATGCTTAGCAATTGTAACAACTCAGCAGAACACTTCTCTCATTGATGTATTAAAATACATTTGTGTTTTTAAGGATACTGCTGCTGGAGTTCTTAAATTCTCACTGTTCAGGAATACAGCTTTTGCTGTACTATAAAAAACACAAATCACAATTTGCTACAACAGACTAGTCAGATATTAAGAAAATTCATAGATCATAATATGTATGGATGGCTGAGTAGTCTTTTTTGAGGGCAACAATCCAGGCTGAAGAAATAGTGGAAAAGGAACCATCCCAATCTCAAGAATCAAAGCTTACCTGGCAAGGACCCCTTTGGAGCCTGGATAGATATTCATGGAGAGAGTAATAATTGGTAAAATTCTTGATCATTCCAGTGGTATGCCTGGCTAGAGTGGCATTCTGCAACATCTGAGCGATATTGGTAAAGTCAGATGCTTCTTTAGGACTGATATAAACAGGAGATTTCTCCACCTGCGGATTAATTACAAGGAATTAATCTTTCTAGCTTTTTTGTACCACAAGATTTGGTTCCACTGAGTTATATCACTTTGGCTGAAAAACAGAACCAGTTCACATATGCAGGATGAAGAATACACTCTAATCAAATGGCCAATATGAGACTGACATTTTTGATTGTGGCCATGACAGAATGTTCCCCTTGGTACATTGTTAAGTAAGCTGGGCCATTTTTTTTTGTCTTACTCCATAAATGAGCTCAGAAAGCAGATGGGCAAGAATTATCTTTTAAAAATATGTCAATAAGCCATATAATGTTAAAGAAAAAATTATGGGGTAATTAATGGATATCATGGAAGGAAGAATAGAAAAATATGGAGAACTATGGTAAAAGTGGTGGTGCAGATTGGATTTCAGTTTTTCTTTATGCCTTTGGCATATTACTTTCTACTGCTAAAATATTGCTTAATGATGGATTTACATTGCCTAGAAATACCTAGAATGAAGCAAAACTATTACTAGAAGCCAACTTGTCTTTGTCAAAAACAGATTATGCTAAATAAAATTGTTTGATATAGTTATAGTTTATTTAGATTTCAGTAAAGCATTATCAAGCAGATTCCTAACAAACTTAGCAGACAGCTTTATCTCCCAAAAAGTAGAGAAGGGAACTAGGGGATCAGCCATATTGGACTTAATTCTCACTAAGAGAGATGAAATGATAGAAGGTGTTGAAGCCACAAGAACCTTGGGTGGGGAGTGATCATACAATATTGGAATTCAACATTATACAAGCACAAGCAACAGAACACAGTCAAACTAGAGCCTTGAACTTTAAGAGAACTAATTTCAATAAACTTAGAGCTTGGTGTCATGCCTCCATCCAAGCATGACTCTGAGGAAGACATGGAGTTCCCTGTTGAGGCCCAGGAGGGGCTGTCTGTGGCTTCGGAGGACTGTGGGGAGGAGCAGGCTGAGGCAGGCCAGGGCCCTTCAAGTTTGGAACAGGGAAGGCAGAGTTCAGGTGAAGAGCAAGGCCCCTCCCCACCTGATCCTAAAGCAAGGAGAGCAGAGAGGAGGGAGGGAACAACGGAGGCAGGCTCACTTGCTCGGGAGGAGAGTGTCCCGCCCCACTCCACAAGGCACACCTGGGGAGTAGGATTTAAGGAGATGCTGTGGGGTGGGGATTTGCCGGGAACAAACGTGAACTCTTGAGATAGTGTGCTTTGTAACCTGGACACTTTGTATTCTGGACCAGTTTGCTTCCTGCTGACCTTGCCTTGCAGTTTGCAGTTCGCAGTTCACAGGTAAGCTGGGAGTTAAAAGGATTATACGTTTGCTTGTTATCTGTCTTGCTTTAAGAATAGTGTAAACTTCCCTGGCTGTTTTGTTTGAACTCGTGCCAGCATATGTGGGGGCTGTTGGGTGAACATTGGCAGTGATTAAAAAGACTATTGCTCTGGCCAACTGATTGCTTTGCCTCCGTTCGGGGCCTTGGTTCATCACACTTGGGAAGAATTCCATTGATGAGAATCCTCAAGAGGAAAACAAGAAGTTTGGGAAATTTTGAAAAGTGAGATTATAAAAGCCCAGTCTAGCACAATACTAACAAAGAAGAAAAATAACAGTTCTCAAAAGAAACCAGCATGGCTGCATAAAGAACTCTCTGATAAATTGAAAGACAAAAAGGACAAGGGACATGTAACTAAGGCAGAATATCAGGAAATAGCCTGAGCCTGAAAAGGAAAGCTAAAGTGAGGAAAGCTAAAACTTAAAATGAACTAAGGCTTGCGACAAAAGTAAAAAATAACAAAAAAAGTTTCTTTCAACATGTAAAAAACAAGAAAAAAAGTTAAGGAAATAATTAGTCCATTAGTGGGAGAAAGTGGCAAGAACAAGCAACAGGGAGAAAGCAGAACTATTTAACTCATTTTTTACATCCGTCTTTACACAAAGGGAAAAAACAGTCCAACCTATCAAAAACAGTACTGCAAAAAATCAGATTAGAAACACAAGTTAAGATAGGCAAGAAAATGGTAAGTGAGTACCTGTCCATCCTAGATGAGTTCAAATCACCAGGACCAGATGGATTACATTTAGTGATGGGATTCAGCCGGTTCACACCATTTTGGCAGAACTGGTAGCTAATTTTTTGTTGCCAAGGCCCAGAATGGCCTTCCGGAAGTGGCATCCACACAGAGAACTGGTTGTTCACATATTTCAATCCCACCACTGATTATATCCCAAGGTTCTGAAGGAACTGTCAGATGTGATCTCAGAACCACTGAACTATATCTTTCAAAGATCCTGGAGCACTGGGGAACTACCGGAGGATTGAAAAAGAGCTGATGTAGTTCCCATCTTCAAAAAAGGAAAAAAAATGGATCCAGGAAACTACAGACCTATCAGCCTGACGTCAATACTTGGGAAGATTCTAGAAAAGATAATCAAACAATGAATCAGCAAACACCTAGAGGCAAACAAAGTCATTACTAAAAGCCAATATGGGTTTGTTATTGCATTCTTTGACCAAGTGACAAAATTAGCGGATCAGAGGAATGCTGTGGATATAATTTACTTGGACTTCAGTAAGTCCACAACCTACTACTTGATAAGATAGAAAAATGTGGATTAGACAGTATCACCATCAGATGGATTCGTAGCTGGCTGACCGGCCATACTTAGCGTGTGGTCTTCAATAGAACTGCATCTCCATGTATAGTGGGGTGCACCAGGGCTCTGTTCTGGGCCCAGTACTCTTCAACATCTTCATCAATGATTTGGATGAGGGGATGGATGGGGAATTCATCAAATTTGCAGATGACACCAAGCTGGCAGGAATAGCCAGAAGATAGGCTTAAGATAAAGAAGGATCTTGACAGACTTGAACACTGGGCGCTATCTAACAAAATGAAATTCAATGGTAAAAAAAATAAGGCTCTACATATAGGCAAGAAAAACCAAATGTACAGTATAGGTGGTACCTTGCTCAATAGTAACTGTGAGAGGGATCGTGGAGTCCTAGTTGGCAATCACTTAAATATGAGCCAGCAGTGTGCTTGTCAGAATCCAATTATATTTGACTTCCGGTTCTTGTTCGCAGTGTCACTAGTCATACAGGGAGACTTCTCTCCTCGTTGACTAGGTTTCCCTCTGTCGGTGGACCTTAATATGGGCCAAAGTCGCCCTGGAGGGTGCGACTTCCATCGAGGAGGCTGATGTCCAGCTGCAGAGGAGCGGCGGATCCTCCAGCTGTACGGACAAATCTCTGAGGGCCGATGGAGAAGAAGATCGGCCAGTAAAATGGCCGATCGCCCTGCCGCTTCAGACCATAAGTCAGATAACATCTGAGCTTTGAGTGTCCCCGTGGTGAATCCAGGTGAGAATTTCTTCTTGTTTTTCTCTCTTTTCTGCTTTTTTTCATTTGTCTACCTGTAAGAGCTTTTGAAATTATTTCCCTGGCTTGGAAAGGTGGCTTCTGCTTTTTTGGGGAAGAAAGGCATTTTACAAAAACTGAAAGACTATATTTTACTTTTATTTGGATACTAAAAAGGAAAAAAGAAGGAAAAGGTTTTCTCTCTCCTTTTTTTTAAGAACTCTACTATTTCTATTATATTTCTATTATATATATATATATATATATATATATATATATATATATATAATAGAATATATTATATATATATATATATATATATATATATAATATATATATATATATATATATATATTCAATGATGCAATCTTCGATCTCCAGGAAGAGTATACTCCAGTTATTTATTGTTAAAACAACATTTAAAACAATAAAAACATATACAAGAATTAAAACAACTTAGCGTTCGCTGGTCCTCTGCCAGCATCCTCAGAGTGGGGCTTAGGGGGTGGGAAGTTCTTTTTATCCCCTTGCTGATCCAATTGCCTAGGCAATTGGATCAGCAATTGCCTACCAATCAGCAATTGGTAGGCAATTGGATCAGCAAGGGGATAAAAAGAACTTCCCACCCCCTAAGCCCCACTCTGAGGACGCTGGCATGACACAAAATCAGCAGGGCATTTTGGATTTGTAAAAACATTACACTTAATTAAACGGCAATTTTGGTGGCCATCCATAAAAAAGGACATAGAAAGTTACATGGCCAGCTGCCCAAAGTGTGCAATTGCAAAGAGGTTGCAAGGGAAATCGCCCGGACTGTTACAAACAGTGGCAAATTCCTCAGCCCCCTGGAGGGAAATAGCCATGGATTTTATAGTGGAATTACCAGAAAGCAATGGGAATACTGTTGTCTGGACGGTAACGGATTTGTTTTCCAAACAGATGCACTTTATCCCTTGCCAAAAGATTCCCACTGCAAAAGCCTTAGCGAAACTTTTCATCCAGCATATTTAAAGATTGCATCGGGCACCCCATGCATCATATCTGATAGGGAAGTGCAATTTACATCTGCATTTGGAAGGAATTTTTATCTCTCTTAGGGACCACTCAGGGACCGACATCTAGCCATCATCCACAAGGAGATGGACAAACAGAAGGTTGTCACTCACTACTTGAGCAATATTTAAGATGCTTTATTAATTTGAAACAGTCAGATTGGATGGACCTACTCCCTTTCGCAGAAGTTGCCTACAATAACGCAGTCCACTCCAGCACAGGTTACACTCCTTTTCAAATAGCTACCGGTCAAAGTTTCAACCCCAAACGAACCGGCGATCCCATCACTGAAAGAATGGATGGAAAAACTACAAAACACCTGGCCAATAGTTAGAAAAGCACTAGATGAAGCTAGGCAGGCATACAAAGCACAAGCCGATAAAAAGGGGTTGAGCTTACACTATTCATTATAGGAGAAATGGTGTACTTATCTACAACATACCTAAAGTCCCTACAACCTTGTAAAAAACTTGGACCAAAATATATAAGGCCTTTTCCAATTAAAAGAATCATAAACCCAATAACAGTAGAATTAGAATTACCCAAAAATCTCAAGCAAATACACCCAATTTTTCATTGCAGCTTG